CATTAGTGTCAGTTGTGTTGGATTGTATGTTCTCACATCTTTGGCAAAACATGAACATAGAAAATATAATGACTTTTAGAATTTGAGTTAAGAGTTTGTGTTCTTGTAAAATATTTACATTTTTTTATTTTAATCTTGGATTAAGATGAGTTAGTATACAAAAATAATGTGGGTATTTTTCTAAAGTTTTCTTCATACTCTCTGCTTATTCATTAAAAATGTTTGTATATGCAGTAAATATAACTTACAAGAAGAGAGCTGAAGTTTTCACCACAAATTGCTCACAGAGATCAGTATTCTGATGTATGCTCTTATATATATATATATATATATATATATATATTTAGGTCAGTCACTATTTTGATCACTTCCAGTAGCCCTTAGCACAACGAAACCAACACAAAATAAAGGCATCATACCAAGTATGCAGTCGGTAGTCTTATCCTCCTGATTTCTTCATCACTTAAAGTTAACCATCATTTTATTCTTTTGTTTATTAATAAACCTACTGATGTAAGGAACTTCATTTTCTTCAGAGTTCTAATTGCTTTAAGGTGTGTTTATTTGACAGTCTTCAAGAATGTGCACACATACAACACAGATATGTACTTTTGGTAACAGAACACACTCTCTGATGTAAAAATGGCCAAATATAATTCCAGACCATTTATACACCTGGTGTAAAGTGTTATTTTATTGAAATATTATTTTCGGTTGTGGTGTCACCACCTGTAGATATTTTGCAAGGTCCTTGTTACACAAATTCATTTTGAAATTCAAAGAAAAAATAATGTATGTTGTCATATAAACAAAAGTAAGCTGTTGTGTAATTCTCATAAAGTTGCTCAAATCCACACCCTGTACCAATAACAAAATCTGGGATTGACAGAATGTGCTGAAATAATCAAATAATGAAATAATTTTATGCTCTAGAAATAAAATCAGAAGATATAGTAATGGATTGATTCAATCTCTCCTCTTTATCATCATCTCTGAACTGGTCTTTTTTTTTTTTTTTTTTTTTTTTTAAAATAATCTTCACTTTGTACAAGACCCAAGAGCCACTTGATGTAGAGGGTTAGAAGATAATGGTTAATGCTAGACTTGAACAGGTTAAAATTGATTGTAGTGATCAGGGAAGTATTCTCTTGAGAGTTGGTTCCACAAAGGAGCAGTTTGTAGGAAGAAATTGTTAGTGGAACTTACATCTCACCAATGAAATATGAAGGGAATGAGGGTGGTTCATTAAAATGTATGTGGCATGATGGGTCTTAGCTTTGAAGGTTAGAACTGGAGGAACTAAAGAATGCAGTTCGCCTAAACACTTTCCATGGAAATAGCAATATAGTAGCGAGAGGCTTGCAACATTTCATCTGTGAAAAAGAGGTTGTAGAGTGGAAAATAATTAATTTCCCAGAACACATATAGATACTGTTGAACTCTATCAGGACTGGAATGGGAAGACTGGACAGCTCCAGCCCATATATGGCAGCAGTATTCCATTTCAATCTGATCAGGCTTTTGTAAAGGTAGAGGATAGTAGGAGGACTCAGCTAGTCGTTTTATATGGATCTATCATTCAGTATACTCTTATTTGAAAACCTTGCAATCAGATAGTTATCAAACTTATAAACCTTATGTATTTTGTAATGGTATGGTAGTGAATGCTGGTCAAGATGTTTTTGAGTGGTACATGTAACAACACTAGTTGTTTTAAGCTAAAGAGTATCTTCATACAAGACACTATTTTTTTTTCTCATTCTGCAAAGCAGATTATTGCCAAATTAATGAAATGGTCTCAACTTCACCAGATATTAATCCAACAAAATGTATGTGATCTGTCATTAAAATAGATGTAAATGGAAAACAATATTCAAGTAAAGATCTGTGAGACAATAAAAGTTGTTACAGGCAGTGCAAAAAAATCAAGTGTAAAAAAGTTAACAAAATCAATTCATGAAAGACCAATAAAAGTTGTAGAATGTCAAGAAGAACATGGCAAATAATCATTTCTTCAAATGTAATCAGATGTTGATCAGATATATTTCAGTATCTTATACCTTACAGATTTTTTACAGGTAAAAATGTATGTTGCACTTTGCTTGCATAATAAAACTTGACACTCTTAAAACAAGTTATCAATATTTTTAATAAAGATTTGTAAGAAGACAGAATGTATGGTTGTTAGCAAGAGGACCCATCGAAGAGGTGAGCTGCAAATTAGAAATCTTAGAATTAAGCAAGTACAGAAATTTAACTAACACAGAAATCCAAAGGTGCATCAAAATAACGATGGATGCCTTCCAGAAGCTAAACAAAGTATTAAGAGACAGAAAAATTTTGTTGGAAACAAAGAAAAGAATGCTGAACTGCTATGTAATATCAATCCCCCTATATGGCAATGAATGCTGGGTAATTTCCTCACAAATGAAGAAGAGACTTGAGGCAACAGAGATATGGTTCTACAGAAGGATGCTGAGAATACCATGGACAGAACATGTGAGCTTTAAAGGAAAATAAAAACTAAAAGGACATGTGCAATCAGGAAGACAATTAAAATTACTGAAACACATCATGAGGAAAGTGGAATTAGAGAATTTAATACTCACAGGCTAGATAGGCACAGGGAAATAGTGAGTAATCTACCTCGGTTTCTTCCTACTCTGCCATCCATTTATACAAAGAGGGATGGCAAAGGGTCAGTATTAGTGAGATCTACAAGGAACAGATGTTTTTTTTTATTGATTGATTTATTTTCTATGGCTTATCAACCCTTTGCAAATTATAATTTGCAAAGGGTTGATAAGCCATAGAAAATAAATCAATAAAAAAAACATCTGTTTGCCATCCCTCTTTGCTAGAAAGAATTTTTAGTTTGTAAAGATTTTTTTTCTTTTTTTTTTTTTTTTAAATAATTTACAAGTCTTAGCTGAGGGAGAAGAGGTAAATTTATACTTTTTCCAGGGGTCTTTGCCTGTAAGTGAATATAACAAACCCAACTTGATTTGGGACTTGACCCTCCAATTAACAATTCCAAGCCATTCTCCATTGCACCACTCACACATCCAAGTTTACAGCATCTGGTCTTCCCAAGTGGTCACCCATCTTGGTGCTGACCAGACTCAACATTGCCTAACTTCAATAATCATATGGGAATGTTTCAACGTGATATGGCCATAAGCCCCCTCAGGAAGTTGTAGATAGGCACAAATGGATATGACACGTAAAAGGTGTTTTTGGGGTTTTTTTTCCAAGCACATGATACAAGAATCATGACAAATTATCCATTTATTCCAGACGAACAATCTGAGGTGATAGGTCCACCAAGCATCCCATTCACACTCCTCCCTGGTCTTTTAAACAGTAGTAGAGGTTTATCCCTTGTTTCCTATTTAGGATTGGGTTTCTAGTTCCTTCTAAAGTCTGGTCCAGCTCTATATTCCTAATGCTTGTTCTTTCCTGCACTAATATAAGTCTATACAATAACCCTCTACTTTGAGTGGTTCTTGGGCCTTGTATTGGGTGAACATTAATAAAAACATTAATAACAAAAACAAAGGATATATAATAATTCAATGATCCACCATTGACCTGCAAATTATGCATGTCTTATATCTTTAAAGCATGAAAACTGTTAGAAACTTAAATTAAAATAGATATGAATGAAATAATTTCTAGGGTAAGGAGTTATCATTATTTACACCTTAGTTTATATTGAGCAAATGTCCTTGTCTTTTTTATTATCATCAGAACACCTTGGGCACTGTGCTCACCAGCCTTTTTAAATCAGGATAATTTTCAGGGAAGGGTTGTTTGAAATTCTCTGAAGGTTACCCTGATGGACAAACACCTGAAGGAGGCCATAGGGCACAATGGCTGAAATGTGGGGATATTAATCTGATTGTAAGTAATGAATTAACCGTGGAGATTCTTTCTGAGAGAAGCTCTATCACTTTATTATAAGGGTTCTTCAGTCACAAATGATATGACAAGGAACCTGAGATTTTGGCAACATCTGGGCCAAAGGAAAAATACTCTTCTGTTGAGTTAATTTTTTAATCTTCTAAGTGTGTAAGTAAATAAGATTTACTGTAATTCACTGTTTTGTTAGTGTGTGTATTTGTATTCATTTACCTTAACTTATTTTATACAAACTAGGTGTGCAAATGGTGTAATGGGATAACAACTAAAAATGAGAAATTTGAAAATTGAGTTCAAATTACAGTTGGATTTTGTTGCATTCACTTTCATGCAAATACACTTCACTTCTTCCTCCAGCTATGGGTTAAATAGTAGGACAGACTAGACTTTTCAACTTTGGTTGGCAGCCAGTCTAGGATAAGGATGGTTTCGAGTTTTAAAACCATATGTAGCCCTGGCGAAACACATACTATGCAGCTAATGAATGGTTTGTAGACGTCACAAGGATTCTATTCACTGCAGTCAAAGTGATAGATGAATAGACATTAAAAACAGATCCTCTTTTACAAGTGTGCTGCTTTGAGGAACTGGTGAAAAGTTCTTGGCTCAATCTGCTTCCCAGTATTCCAATGACCAAACATCATTTTTCTTTTCTTAAGAGTCAAGGAAGATTAAGAAACAATGTTCTAATTGTGCATATGGGAAACCACATATGTAGTTTATGGTTGTTATTCTTGCTCAGCCAAGAAGTTTTCAGCACCCCCTTCTTAGATAAGCTGTACTATAGTCACTGTGTCCTTCCTGGTGTGAACATCAGCATGTATCTATTTTAAAGTCTTCTATATTTAAAAAAAAAAAAATCTGATGAAACAGAATCATCCAATCACACCCCTCCCTGGTCTTTTATCCCTTGTTTCCTGTTTAGGCTTGGGTTTCCAGTTCCTCTTTCACTCCCAGTAGTCCTTTGCATCTTAGTAGCAGTATCACCTTGTTTGGGGCAAATTCATTAAAAAAAAGAAGTTTGAAATGATGACCTCTTAATTCCATTTTAACTAATGTCACATGTTCTTTTGTTTTAGGTGTTTTGTGGAATTATGATGACCTCATTCCAGGCGCTTTGGACTGTGTCAACAAGTTGAAAAAACAGGTGAGTTAATGGCATACGTTCCAGTTTCTTTTCTGTCTGAACATCTCTGAGATGAAGTATTATAATGTTTACATTAGATTCTTATGATATAAATATCTATGACACATGATATCACAGGTAGGATTTATTAAATACAGGGTGCGATGGGTAAATTGTCGCCATTTTATATTTTTAATTTCACATTGTTTTAGATTTTATCAACTGCACAGTATAGTAGGGTCAGTTGGGCACCATCTGTGAGAAAAAGAGCACCATGATGCAATTCACTCTGCCAGAAATTTGGAAATGGCATGCTGTACTGCTTGGTACTCATTCTGGAAGCTCTAATACAAACATTTCAGAGTGTTTGTGTGCCAATCTGAGGACAATGCAGAGGATTCAGAACACTGGATAAGTCTAATGGTGATTACGATGGTGTGTGGAGTGAGTGATCACTAGTGATGGCAATATTATGCTTCCATTCACCTTTCCACAGGTCCTCAGACTCAACATGGAGGCCTATATCAAGTGCCTTGAGGAGGTAGTGCTGCCCTGGGTCAAGAGGGTGGATGCTGGAAGACCCTATGTCTGGCAACCGGACTCTGCCACACAAGCCCAATCATGGCTGTTAAATTTCTGCGACCAGATCACCCATTACAACTGGCCACACCTAATTCCCCAAACCACAACCCCTTGATTATTATGTGTGGGACACAGTTAAGAAAGACACCAACAAAACCCCTTGTAACACCAAAGATGAACTGAAGGCAAGGATTATGGCAACATTCACCAACTTGAACATGAAGACTGTCCAGAAGAGTTGCAGGAGATTCTTGAGGCCGTGGTTGAAGCCAATGGTGATTTTTATTGAATAAATTTACTCTTTAGTATTTCAACATACTGGTGGTCTGAGATTTTATTATGCATCGCAAGAGTTGCTCATCATATTGTATGTGTAAACATATATACACACCCACGCACACATTAGTAGAGTTATTGTTATATTATTTTTTACTTTCACTTGTATAAAGATTTCCATGACTTGTAAGAAATATATAAAATCTCAGAGAAGCAAGATATTGTAAAGTTAGTAAGTGATAGGAACACCAAGCTGGAAATTACTAGAAAATTGAAAAGAGATGACTATAGCAATAAAAAAAAAAGAAATTAAATGCATTAGAAAGATAAAAACAAGAAAAATTATCTTTATGAATGTCACAAAAAGATTTGAGAAAAATTAAAAGGTTAATAAGTAAGGAAAGTGTATTTACAAGCAAGAAAATATTTTTTAAAAAAAAAGCTAGTGTTGCAAATGAAAGAAAAAAATGAAAAACATGCTAAAGACATGAGAGAAAATGAATTATCACCTTTAAGTAAACATCACAAAGAGAAAGTTGATCAAAGAAGTAGATGAAAATTGATTTAATTAGTTTTTACTGATGAATATAGAGCTATATTGTATGGACCTGATGGCTGGGCAGGAAATTGTCTTTCATGGAAATAGTCAAATAGATGGAATAATGGGTTCATATTGTAGGTAATAAAATTATAGGTTCTTTCAAAGCTGATTCAATCAAGATAAATGCAAGCAATTATTCCTGGACAAAATCTTTTTTGTATGGTATAGGTCACAGCTACGAAGCTTTAAGCAGATGAGTATATTCATGTAAGACAATGTCCCTTCCTATTATTTTCAAATTTAAACAAAATAGATGACTACGTTGCTAAATTTTTGGTATGGCTCCAGGTAGATTTTGACCCATTCAAAGAATTTGTAATAACCCATACTTCATTAAAACAATTATTTACATTATCCAATCAAAGCAATTTGTGAATATCATTCATCAGGCTATGAGTGAATGAAAAATCAGTTTTCCTTATAAAATCCAAATCGGGAATTGTTTCTTTACTCATAAAAATGGAAGCATGGATGATATAATGACCAAAATATTATGAGTATAAGAACAAAGTTGAGCATGCTGGTCTAAATAGAAAGGTAAAGATAATAATGACCTTGTGCCAAACTAGCTCAGCTTGCTTTATATATATATATATATATATATATATATATATATATATATATATATATATATATATATAGTGTATCAAAAATACTTTTACAAACTTTGTGTGGTTGGGTCCTGACACTAAAACAAGGTAAAATGCTCATATAAACATATGCCTAAAAGGCCATCATTTTTACAGCAACTTATAAAAAATGTTCAAAATCTCCTTCGCTTGCTTCTACACACACATGCACCTGTAGGATCATTGACTGGCAGACCTTTTCAAATATTCCCACACAATGTTGAATTGTTTTGCAGGCCCAACATGACACATTGATGAAGCGTCTCTGCATTATAATGTCTACTGCATAAACCAATTATTTTAGGTGACCCCACATATAAAAATCTAAAAGATTGAGGTTAGAGGAACATACAGACTATGTAAATGGTCTTTCCCTACCTATTCATCTTTCATGGTAGATGTCAGCCAGTGCATTACGAACAGTGTGACTAAAATGTGCTTGAGCCCCGTCTTCCCTGTAGACACTTCCTGTACGACATGCTGGGAGAACATATGGCCCTACCAAACAGTCCCCTACAATTGTAGCCCACATGGGAATTCTGATCTGCCCACAAATGTTGATTGTGTAAATTTGTTATTCCATCTCTTCCAAATGTTGCCTCATCTGTAAACTAGACTGAAGAGGCAAACAACGAATTGGCTGTTGGTGCAATAAACCATCAGCAAACGTTCTCCTCAAAAAGCAAAAGACTCTGCATTTTTGGTCCTTTCTTTTGCATGGTCTATTTTAAATTTATCCAAAATTATGTCTTCAATATTAACACTTGGGTTGAGAAGGCCCATAGCCTGCAAATCTAAAAGAAAAGCATTTGCAAGGCTTGCTTCTAAGTTTGATGAAACATCACCCCTGATCAACTCAGTAGCATATCGAGGAATTTTTAAAAGGCTGTAAACACTCTTGAAATGTCTGCCATGCTCGTACTGTTGTAAAATAAAATAAGACATATCTCAGTTGATTTGCAGGCAAATAAGCTAACATACTCAAGAGCGATAGCCGGATGTGAACGGGACAAGGCCCCGTCACAAGATGACCATTATTGTTGTTTACGCATAGGCCCAACGCACGAGTTCCGGTCGAAAAATAAAATATTTTAAAGTGTTCCTATTTCTCAACCAATAAAAATGCTTCCCTCCTAATTACACTTGTGTTGTTTTTTGAGCCTGTTAAGCCATAAAAAACACCATAAAAGGGGTCACACGGGGAAGTACAGCAGCAGTCAACAGGAGGTCAGGGAAGAGACCTGTCACGGTCAGTCAGCAGCAGTCAGCAGGAGCAGCGCCACGTCAACCAGTGAGAACTACTATGAGAGATCAACCCAGATCGGCAGCTAGCTTATGAACTATACCACAAGGTAGCTGTCCCAAAACCACACGTTCCTATTGAAATAAATCATGTGAATCTATTTCTGCTGTTGTCGTATTTCTTTCTTGCAACCATACGCTTGTCTATAACAGTACTCTTCATATATTTCATCACTATTTGATGACTGGGAAAGAATAACATCCTGATCATAAGTTGTGAAGGCAATAAGAGATGAATCAACTTGTTTTTGTCTTTCTCCTTCCACTACACTCATTTTGGGTTTCTGAATGGCAGTTTTATCAACAGGTCCAAGTTGAAAAGTACCCTTGGGTCCTATTTTGGCCCTCTCATCTTTTAAATATTCTCTGTCTTCCACTGGTACCTGAAATATTAAATTTATGTTGAAAGAATACATCTAACCAACAGATATCTCAAAAAAATATTATATTATTTCACGTAGAAAGAAAAATAGTAAAAGTTGCTTTTCTAAGATGTTTACATAAAATTACATAAATTCATTAATATTAAAATGTTTATGATATTGGGATTTAAATTCATTTAAAAAAGGAAAAGAAAAATAATTTTACCTTATCTTTGAGAGGACAAGTACAGACAATGTGCCTTGTCTGACAATTTTCTTTTTTGCACTTCTCATTTTTATCTTCACAACTTAAAATTGACAATTGACAAAAACAAGAAGAAATGTCAAACAATGCATCCAGCTTTTTTTGTCATAATTTTCTTTTGCACTGAAGAGCAACATCTTCTATTTATCTGATGTGCTTTCTCGAAGCAGATCTTTTTCAATTTATTTACAATATACTTTTCGGTTAACAGAGAAATATGGGGATTAACTGCCTTCCAAATATCAATTATATTTTTGCCATTATTTTTGAAATAGCAAAGTTTAAGTTTGAACAAGTATTTTTTAGAAAATAACTATACTGGATGACTTGTTGAAAAGTAGGCAGCTCTGTCTTATCTAATGGACAAGGTGGTCCTCCAAATTTTGTAGCACTAACACTGTGAGTAGAAAGTTCAGTTAGTTTTCCAATCATTTTTATAAATATATCTGAAAAAAATGTTTATTCTGTTATTATAAAAAATTAAACAAATTGAATTATAAATTCCAAAGTGAAATTAAAAAAAAACTGGAAAAATGTAATAAAAGATGAAATAAGTATGTATTTACTTACGAAATGCTAGCTAGTAGCATGCAAAAAAAAAACTCACGAATGAAAAATGTCTTCAAAAATTAAAAAAATATTAAATATCACAGTGAATATAAAGCTATTTCTTTCCTTTTTTTTCTAATAATTAAGCTATTAAAATAAAAAAGGAATACACTTTATTTTTTTTGTATTTTGAATCAGCTCGATAAACTTGACTAAGCTAAGCAAAAACACGTGGAATGCTAAAGAAAGAAGGATATTTCCCGTGCAGACTGAAAAACATAACCGCCTAAAACAAGCTTGAATTTGTTTATAGAATCTTAAATGAAATATTTTTGTAGTGTTTGCTTTTTAATTTACTTTTCTTTAAGTTACCCAGAATTGCATGATTTTGAATAAAATTTAAAATAAAACATTTTATTAAGGTGATTTTTCTACATTTTTTCTTCAAAACCCGGTGTTAATTTGACCTACTTATCTTTTCGGTTAACACCGGGTGAATATTCGATTATGTTTTAAATGCATTTTTAAAAAATTGGTAAACTTTTAGAGAAAAATATTTTGTGCAGTTATTCTTTATGCAACTTTGTCTGGGTAGAGTTAGTTGTGGTTTCAAAATCGACTTACTTACTCTACCCTGCACACATTGCAAATGATACAGATGCAGGAGTTGCTCTTTTTGTAGTACCTTCCATGCAGTACTATGAGATGTACGACAGCCACTTGACGTGTGCTGGTACCTGGATCATCTCTGACAGACTGTAGAATGTGTTCATCATGGTCAAGTGTATAAGCAGATCTCAGTCTTTCTTGATCCATAGTTTGTGATGCTACAGATACTGTTTCAGTCACACAACAACAATCATCAGCAGCAGCAAAAGGTGAATAACACAGCTGCCTTTGGTCTTGAAATGCAGTCTGATACAGCTGTGCAGCCTCACATCCATTATCATTTGCACGGCCATATGTAAAAATCATATCTGTTTGCTCACGATATGAATATCCTGCTATGGTTAAATGGAACATTTCTCAGTTAACGTTGAAGACAAACTTAGTCACATGTAGATGAATGACAAATGTAATGTAGTCTACATGGCAACACAGTGCCATCTACTGTTAACTTTCTTTAAACTTAATAACTCAATAATGAAGAATTTACTGACATATGTTTATATGGACTTTTGTCCTCGTTTTGGTGTGAGGAGCCCATCCCCAAAGTTTGGAAAAGTATTTTTGATACACCCTGTGTGTGTATCTATATCTCATTATTATATAATAAAAGGTTGAAATATATAATATATATATATATATTTCAACCTTTTTATTATATAATAATGATAATAATTCCTCATCTCAAAAATGAAAACGTAAATTATCCCTAATTTAACCCAGTATTCACTTTGGCTTTTGCCGTACATTTGCTGTGGCAAAGGGTATGAAACATTTGACCTAGTGATAAAAACCTTACAATTTCTTTTGTTTTCCACCAAGATAAGTTCACTCACACACTTGTTTTATACAACTGGAAAACTCAGAAAAAAATGTAGAGAGTGACCCACCCCCTTCCCCTCAAGGTCACCTCCAAGTTTTACTGCAACTGACCACCTGTTTAATGCTTGTCTGCCTATTAAAACATTTTCATTCTCTGCCAGTTTTAATGTGAAATCACGAGAAATGTTCTTCCAAACATTATCATGCCCAGTATCTTTTCATCTTTTAAATAAAAAATAAAAAAAACTATATTGATTTTGTTATTGGATCTTTCATTGGGACAATCACCAAAGAGTGCATAACCTTTTCATTTTCTTGTGGCACATATGAATTATTGATTTTGGTGTTAGGAGTAGGGTATGGTGCTATAAAAGAATCAAGAAATGTTAGCAAATTTTGGAACAATTCAAGGAGTTGAATTCTTTTTTATATATTCTTTTTCAGTATAAAAAAGCATCTAAATATTACAGTGCATCCAATTCACCAGTAATATGCATAGAAGGTAAATCACTAAAGACTGAAATTATACAGTTAAATGTCTTATTTAATTTCCATATAATTGTTACTTTGTTTCATTTAATTTTCTTTTATCAAGTGGCTAAAAAGTTTGTACCATTTTCAGTGTCTTTTTATTTTATTTTTTTTTATCAGCTTAAAAAAGTGTAATCTTTTCAGTGATAAAAGTCCATGATTACTTTCAGCAACATAAAACCTACATGCATCATTTATTACCAAGATAACCTTAAGAAAAGTATACCTATAATACTAATGAGTGAAATCAACATGGCAGTCCAAAAGTTCAGTGTATGAAATTGTCTACTTAACAAAAGTTAAACTTTGAACAAGACCAGCAGAAGTAACATGTAGAATATGTACCATGTTGCTAGCCTTTCACTACTATATTGCTATTACTATGGCAGATGTTCAGATGAGATACATACCTTAGTTCTACTAACCCAGACCTTCACAGCTAGAATCCATCATCATGTGTTCATAGAGGAAAACCATCCCCATTATATTTGTGTTCCTTTGATAAAAAGTAAGTTCTACATGGACAGATTCTTCCCTCAAAACTGTTACTTTGTCAAACAATCTACTGAGAGAATGCTTCCTGAATGACTACAATCTGGGTCTCTTTTAAGTCAACTGATATCTGTCCTACTCTTCCTCATAATTCTCTTTTACTTCCCACTTCTCTACAATTTCATTTAGTAACCATCTACCTTGAATAGCCCTTGAGCCATGTATTGAGTGAACTAACAGTATTACATATATATATATATATATATATATATATATATATATATATATATATATATATAATGGTTGTGAAGTCAATGATCATACTATTCAAAAATGGTCCAGTAAGTTTCTGATTTGAAGTCTCACTTGAATGATAAAGGAAGACACATAATGACTGATGACAACAAACTAAAGTCTTGTGTTGAATTTAATCTGCTTGCATTAATGTTCAACACAAGAGATGAAACTTTATATCTGTACCTGCACAACAACAGAAAAATATAAGCATTACAAAAATAGGCTCACTTCAAACTCAGGAAATAAAACAAAGTAAAAACAACACAAACCTTCTTTGGCTACATAATAATTTAACTTTATTTCAATTAAGTTAATATTTGGAATAAATTAAACAAGTAAAAACTGATAAATAATTATGCAATAATTTTATATAATATATATATATATATTGGATCTAACAACTCCTTCATCTTTCTTTGCCAGTCAAAGCTAGAGAGCCCTGTTTTCCTTGTTGTTTTAATATTGTTGTCATGAAAAGAGATGGATTCTTGTCTTTTTTTTCAATAGCATTAGTTTGAAGTGAAAATAAACTGTCTCAGATTGCTAATTCCATTTACTTTGTTCTTAACAGTTTGACCAACCAAATTATATCATTAACAAAACCTTTTCTTTGTTTCTTGTCAATGTGCAATATACATTTTCTATCTGATATTTACATTTGCATTTATTTATCTATTTACAGGGGAAAACTGTATATTTTATAACCAACAACAGTACTAAAACTCGGAAAAACTATTGCAAAAAATTTACTGACCTGAAATTTGATGTTCACGAAGTGAGTTTTCTACTTGATACAGTTGTCGTTCTTGTTTTAAAAGTTTAAGCTAGGTCAACTAGTACAAAGAGGTGTTGAAAAGTTCTCATCCCAAATAATAAGACCTTCCAAAAAAACAAATTCTTATTTTGGGAAGTGTATTGGGCTGATAACTTTTCTGCACCCTCCCATACAGGTAGGTATATTAGTGTGTATCTGTTGTCAATGTTTATTGTGTATTATGTTGTGTATGTATTATTTATGGTGTTATGTTGTCACGGTAGTTCCCAACCATTTTGGGGCTATGCCCCACCTAAGCATCTCTAAAATCTTGATGCACCCCTCTGACATATAATTCTGATCATTCATTCAAAAAGTGAACTATTCATGTGGAGGAAGCCTAAATGGCCATTAACATTAACTTTCCTTAAGAACTTGAAATTGTGGTCAAGTGATCAAAGTTTGAGCTTGATCGTGCCAGTTTTCTTGCTCTGCTAGCATTGTGCACCAAGCTAAAGAGCAGTGATCTGGTTGGAAAGTGTTTCAAGGGCTGAAATTCATTGGAGGATTTTAACACAATATGGCGACAGTGCACTACCCTGTAGAAGTGTGTATGAGTAGATCAAGAAGTTTAAAATTGGCCGGACAAGCATGAAGAAAGCAGGACACTTGTTAACCTCCACCACTGACGAGGAGATTCAGCAAGCTTGAGAGATGGTAATGGCAGACCAGTGAGTTATCATTCATGAGATAGCATGTTCTCTGCAGCTTTGAATCACTGCTCTTTGTTCGTCCTTGGTGGAGACAATTATAAGCACGCATGAACAGAAGGCAGTGTGACTAGAGATATGTTATAGTGAAAGTGAGGATACGTTTTGACTTACCCTCGAGCATATTCAGAATCTTGGATGTAAAAGTCACTAGGAACACAGATGTCTTTAGTGACTTCTAAGCTTTTAATCCAAAAAGCATATATGCAATATGAGGCATGGTGACAAAACAGAAACAGGACACCACATATACTAGCTTGGGTTTTACATTTTAACCAGTTTTCTGATCCATTCTCTTTTACAGGAGAACAGAAAAAACTTTTCTTTTTTTTTTATACTTCTAACAAGCAGGCTTTGGAGAAGTTAAACAAGGACAATATTGTTCACCGTAAATCAAATATGATTGCTATATTTTTTATTCCACCCCATCCCATATATTAGAATTTAATTTTTCAATGTATAGAAAGAAATTTGCTTTGAACTGGACCAAATCAGAAACATGGATGAAGTCTAGTAACATTTAATGTACCATACAATTTTTCCTTTCTTTTTTTTTTATATATATTCCTTGCTGAAAAGGAGCTGGTCTTTGATGCCATCAAATACAGTATTTTCACAATACAAAGTGAATGTTACTTGGGGCTATATGAATCATGTTCATGTCAAAATGACAAGAAATCCTATTTATGTTAGTGTACACTAACTGACTAAAGGTTTTTTTAACAAATAATGTGTATTTTCTATCAAATCTGCACGTTTGTAAAGAATGACAAAAAACTCTTTTTACTATAAATTTATGCTTTGCAAACTTCAGTATTGTTCTTTTGCTATCCTAAAATGTAAAATGCTTAGCACTATCAGCCAGTTGTGTTTTTATCTATAAAGAGTATTCCTCTGTTTCTATAAACATCAATTCAAAAAATTGTTGGCTTGTATGGTTCGTGAAGTAGAATAAATCTTCCAACTTCAAGATATGAATCCATCTCTTCACCCCAGTTGTGGGTTAATTACTAGGACCTGTACCTGTAAATGATTATTATCTCTCCAAAATTCTTACAATCAAAGAATATTTATTGGCTTTTAAATAACCTGCAAAAGACAATTCAAGCCATCCAATCTCAAGATGCTCATATCTATTAGAAAAAGAATCAACTCTATTAAAATTATTCATAATTATACAATGTGCAATGTAGATTTTTAATTTATATATATATATATATATATATATATATATATAGTAAAGGTAAGAAATCCATTGGTATATAATCCAAGTGGACCCAAATATTCCCTGATTTTGGAATAATATTTCATTCTTCAGGTTTCTATTCTTGTTATATTTATTCAAATACTATATATATATATATATAGTAAAGGTAACAAACCTGTTAAAATATATATATATATATATATATATATATATATATATATATATATATATATATATATATATATAGTAAAGGTAATAAACCTGTTAAAATATATATATATAGTAAAAAGGTAACAAATCTGTTAAAATATATATATATATATATATATATAGTAAAGGTAACAAATCTGTTAATATATACATATATATATATATATATATATATATATATATATATATATATATATATATATATAAAATCTCGGATGATGAACCAAAAAAGAGAAAAGATCATTTGGTTGAACAGATGTTCTGTAAGCTTCCCTGCTATTGGTAAGCCCCATACAATATTCAATGTACCATTAAATTGGCCTATTGTTGAATGAACAACATAACCTGGATAAAAATAAAACATGACACTGCACATGATACAAACCCTATCCCATCTCCCATCTTGTAAATGCAAAAATAAATACTTGCCCATGTGAAGTAAAATGTTCAATATAGTCTACTTGGCAGCTGTAAAGACCAAAGGTGAACCATTTTAATGTTTCTGAAAGGCTATGGAAACAAAGATTCCAGAAGCACAAAATCTATTTCACAAGAAAGCAGTACACCAATAGTACAATGTTTTCTATTTATTTGTAGAAGTTGAAAGACAGTCAGGAATACTCTAGAAGTGGAATAAAAGATATTAAATATTTTCATGTAAAGCTGGACCCAGGTTGTGCAAATTATGCCTGGAAGAAAAATTATGCATTTTAGAATTCTCCCAACAGACTATTGAATAGTCAGAATTACTTTCCAAGTACAGGCATGAAAAGAATTGTTTGTTCTGCTACCTAGCTCCTTAATAAATGATTATGGATTATCTATATTTGTCTTAAAATATATATATTAATCAAATTCACCCCTAGCAAGGCAGTAAAGCCACTAAGACACAAGGGGTTAATAGGTGTGGAAGAATTAAAAAACAGAAACATTACTAAGGTGCAAGTACAGAAGAAAAGTAATCAAGAGGGCAATAGATAGCGATTGACATTGCATTTAAATTTTTTGTAGATAAAAGCTGGCTGGAAAGCATGGAACCAGAAGGGAGTTTCACAAGAGAGAAAGGAAAATGTTAGCACAGAGCATACAGTTACATCTAGCCAACTCAACTATATATCAGTGAGACCTCATTGTCAGTCTAGTAGTGTGCTTAAATTCCTAAAGTCGAGGTACTATAGTAAAGAGTTCATTTGAACAATTACCAAGAAAGCAAAGCCTCTGGGAGGCAAATATACAGTGGTGGGAAAGTGACTGAAGCCAAGATGCAAGATCAGGACTAACAATATTGCTGATTATTCTTTGGATTTTATCAAGGATCTCTAGATATATAGCAGGAGCACCCCACCATATGTGTTAGCAATATTCTAAGCATGGATGAATGGTAGACATAGATATCTAAGGTAGATTCTGGAGAGAAAAATTGTCTAGCACAACAAAGTGAACCAACTTTCTTAGCAGCTGACCTATCAATGGATTCAATATAGTCTTTCTGCTTCATGTCACCCGAGAACATTAGCCCAAGAAGGCATTACAAGTGACTCTCCTGGAGGTTAGCATCAGCCATACCGATTGAAGGCAGAAAGTATATCAAGGTGAACAGAATTTCTGCCAATAAAGTGCTCAGTAGCTATCTCGAGCAATAATTGTATCAAAAATAATGAAAGCTCACAATACTTATTGGAGGTAAACTCTTGTTTCATAATTCCTGTTCCTTCAGGGCCCATGAAAAAAATAATTGTATCAATTAATGAAGAATATATATTTTAACTTATAAAAACTTATATCTGATAACTAAATTTTCTACACGTAGAAATGACAATTGCATGAGTTCTCTACACCATTTGAAAACACAAATATTCATATATATATATATATATATATATAGAGAGAGAGAGAGAGAAAAACAGTGCAAACATAGGGATCAACATTGTATGGTGACTGTCAGTTTTGCACCTCCAATGCAAGGGAAGAAGGAAACTAATCCTTTCTGTTTCTTTCGTTTAGGGCTTGTGCCAAGGATTATTTATGATTACTTATTCATTTAAATATATATTTTTTTCATAAATATATTTATATTTTGTATATTTTTCTTTGGCTCTAGGTTCTGTGATTTGAAATTTGTTTATTAGATTTAGGTAATGGTATATTTAGTGTGTTTTTTTTTTTTTGTTTTTATCCTAATGTGGTTGTATGTAGCATAGAAATTTTCAACAGCTTATTCACAATTTTGATCCAGGCATAAAAAATCTTGTTAAAAAATTACAATAAAATTTTAAACAGACCTTGTCAATTGAATTTAATAAAACTTGTTTAAATGAATTCTTGTTTCCACTATATAATCTCTGTATCTCTTTTCTATCTTTTCAGGATGAAATAATCTGTACTGCATATATTGCTGCTTTGTATTTACATAATAACAACTTCAAGGGAAAAGTTTATCCAATTGGAAGCCCTGGTCTCCTTGAAGAACTTGACAACTTCAACATTGCCCACACTGATGTTGTGGTAAGCAGATTTTTAATTTGACGAACCTTCCAGTCTTGCTTTTGCTAAAATTCCTGTATTTGTAGACAAAATATAAGATTTTAAGTGACATCTCCAATAATGAGCAACCACTCTCTCCCCTTCCTACCTTCCCCCCTTCACCCCCCTCTCTCTCCTGCCCACCTTCTTTATCTATATCTCCTGCCCACCTTCTTTATCTATCTCTCCATCACATCTTATCTCTCTCTCTTTCTCTCTCCAGCCCACCTTCTCTCTCTCTCTCTCTCTCTCTTGTAGAGTAGCTGAACACCCCTACAAGATGGACTAATCTAAGACTATCTAAATAGTACTCTCTCTTACTGAGGGAGAGGAGATAACAATTACAGTTAACTCTGCTTGTCAACTCTCTACTTCTTATTTTCAATGTGTGTCACTCTTTCCTATTTCTGACACAACATTTGGCAACAAGGGATTCGAATGTTAAAATTTCCAGTGGGATACTGACATCTGACAATGAAAATTTCAAGTGTAAAAACTTCCCCCTGTAATACCAACACTGACCAAGGATTTGGGTTTAAAGAAATTTACAATCATATACCATAAAATTGTTGGCAATGACTCAACCCCAGAATAATTCCAAGTCTGTATAACAGATTGACATGTTAAAAACAAGAATTTTATTTGTTCAGTAAATTTTTACAGGGTAGAGGTGTAGAGTAGGAAACTGTTTGGTCAGTTAAATTTTGTCTCTACAAAGAAACATGGAGGAACAACCATGTTTGGACCAGGAATACTCTGAAAAACAAAATGAATGGTTTGGAAAAAAATGTTCAAATTGTTAGTGTTGAGAAAGGAAAAAGAGCAAAGCAATGCAAATTCTTTTTCTCAAGATTCAGTGATAAATTCAGTTAGTGAATTTAAATACAGTCCTGAGGAGGTAACTTTTGTGGCATATTTTTGCTATTATGAAGAGGTTTTTCAAAAAGATTGCGCTACATGGTTGAACAAAAAGAAAATACATCTGTTGCTCAGAAAATTTAGTCCAAGTGAATATGAAAAATATGTGAACTACATACTTATGAGAAATCCTGGGGAAATATCCTTCGAGGAGACTGTCTTAATTCTGGAAAAAGTTTTTGGTGAGAAAAGTTCTTTATTCAATATAAGATTTGCACGGTTTGAACCTTACCAAAATAGTTGGGGGGGAGGGTTTTCAACTTTTGCTTGGATTGTTAATAGAGAATTTGAAAAGTTTAAATTAAAAGAACTTCTGATATGTTTAAGTGTTTGATTTTTATACAAGGACTGATCGCTCCAGAACATGGCAATATTAGAACCATAATTGTATCTAAATTAGAACAAAATCAAAAAAATCAGTCTACAAATGGTCACAGAAGAATGCGAACGAATAGAAAATCTTTGACACAGCAAGGATAGAAGAATGTGACATGTCAAAAATTCAGGCAGTTAAATAAAGACGACATAAAGAAAATTTTGCCCACAAAATAAATCCTTGTTATGGCTGTGGACAGATTCATTATTACAAGCAAGGTCAATATAGAAGGAAAGAATGCTTTAATTGTGGCAAAAAGGACATAAGCATACACATTGCAGAAAACCTAGAAGTAAAAAGGGGTCAAAAATGAAAAATACCATTAATTTAACTACAATGGAAAACAAAGAAATAAAAAATAAAAAGGAAAAGAAAGTTTGTAAATGTACAGATGAACAATAAAAATATTAAGTTCCAATTGGATACCAGTTCAGATCTGACATTGATAAATCAACAAACTTTAGAAAAAATTGGCAGACCAACATTATTGACAATGAAAAGAATTGTTCATAGCATTACAGGAAATAAACTAAATTTTGAAGGAGGATTTTACACAAATGTGGCATTTATTGGCAAAACTATAAAATTAAAAGGATTCATTATGAAACGAACCCAGAACTTGTTTTCTTTTCAGCCAACTAATTAATTTGTTCTGCTATAGTGTCAGTGTTAATTCAAACAGCATGAAAAACTCTAAAAAAAAAAGAATTAAAAATAAAATTTCCTGAAATTTTTTTTCTGATGGTTTTGGCAGGTGCAAAAAAAAGCTAAAGAGATATTCAAACTTAAAGAGAATATTACACCTATTTTTAGACCGAAAATAAAAGTACCTTTTGCAGCTGAAACATCCATTAGTAAAGAATTAGACTGCTTAGAGCAAATATGCAGGTTGAGCAAAACAGACTGTCGTGAGTGGGTGGATAAGCCATACTGTTTATATGAAAAAGAAAAATAATAAAATTGGGATCTGCGCAGATTTTTCTACAGGACTTGAACAATTGTTTGGAAACATATAATTGCCCTCTGTCAAGTACTGAAGACACATTTGCAGAATTAAATGATGGCAAAGTGTTTTCAAAACTTGATTTGTCTGAGGAATATGTTCAGATTTCTGTCAGTGAAAAATGTGTAAAGTATTTAACTATAAATACACATAAGGGTCAGTATAGATTTAACAGACTGTCATTCAGGATAAAGGTCGCACCAGGCATTTTCCAGAAAATCATGGATACGATATTGAATGATGTTGACTTCGCAATAGCCTATCTTGACGACATCTTAATTAAGAGTGAAAACCAAAAACAACATGCCAAACATGTTAAAGAAATTTTTGAAAAAATAAAACAATATGGTTTGAAAATTAGTTTGGATAAATGTGAATTATTTTATCTAAAATTAGGTAATTGGGACAGGTTATAGATGTGAAAGGTAGACCCATCAAGTTTGAGTGTGATAAAGAACATGCCTTCCCCAACAAATGTGTTGGCACTACAAGTATTCTTGGGTCTAGCAAATTACTACAGTAATTTTATCCCAAATATGCACATTTTAAGAGCTCTGCTAAACAAATTATTAAAAAAAAATTCTAAATGGAACTGGAGTACTCAATGTCAGTGCTTCTGAGGAAATTAAAAAAAAATATTAATGTCAGACTTAACCCTGGTGCATTACAATCCAAATAAGAATATTACTGTTGCAATTTGGACTTTAATATTAAATAAACAGCCAAGTAAAAGTGATTGCATATGTGTCAAGGATCCTATTGCCAGCTGAAAAAGGGTACAGCCAAATCAAAAAAGGAAGATTTAGGAATTATTTTTGTGGTAAAAAAGTTCCATAGATTCATTCATGGAAGAAGTTTTACACTTCAAATGAACCACAGACCGTTATTGTCTATTTTTGGTTCCATAAAAGGGATTCCTACACATACTGCAAATCACCTTCAGAGATGGGGAATATTATTATTAAATTATAATTTTAAGATGGAGTTCCTTCTGTCAAAGATGTTAGGGTATGTGGATGGGTTATCCAGGTTAATCCCCAAACTATGTGAACCATTGAAGGAAACTGTGATAGCAGCCATAAGAATAGAAATGGAAATAAAAAGCATGCTGTCCAACACCATATGGGAATTACCTGTGACACTCGAGGAGATCAGAATCAAAGCAAAAATATACAAATATATCACAGACAAAAAGAAACAAATTATAGATAAATAGTACAAAAAGAATGATGGTGAAAAGATTATTTCTATCTGTGATGGAATTTTTATATACAGCAAATGGATGGGGATACCAGGAGTGCTGTAAAAAAGAATATTAAAAGACTTCCATACCAGTCTCCCCAGTATATTGAGGATGAAAGCTTTAATGAGAAGCTATGTTTTGGGGCCAAATATGGACAAAGAAATAGAGGAAGATGTAAAATCATGCAAAGGCTGAGCAATGACGGCAAAGGCAACACCAGTGAAATTTACAGACATTGGATATAGATTTTGCAGGTCCAATGAGAGGACAATATTATTTAATTGTGATTGACAGTTTCTCTACATGGCCAGAAGTAATGAAATATAAAAACCCTATGTGCGAGTTTTTGCATGAACTCTTTGCCAGATTCGGTATCCTGGACACAATTGTGCTGGACAATGGCACACAATTAACGATAAAAGTTCAAAGTGAAAATAAAGTAAAGTTTTTTTTGATTGCACACATCACTACCGCATCATATCACCTGCAATCAAATGGGCAGGCAGAAAGATTTGTAGATACTTTCAAGCGAGCATTAAAAATACCAAACAGAAATGGAGCAGTTGACAATATCCAACAGTTTTTAAGGGTATCTCATGTGACACCAAATCCAAGTACTAATTTGGGATTGTTACCTGCAGAATTAATGTTCATGAGAAAAATAAGATCTGTGTTCAAGAAACTGTTGCCAAAGGGAAATAAAAACTAATACAAAATCAGGAGAAAAAATGTTTTTCAAAATATAGAAACAGGAAAGAAATTTGGAATGCTGGTGTCATTGATAAATGCAGTGGGAGATTAATGTATATAATTAAAGACCTGAAAAAGACCATTAAGAAACATCACAACCAGATGAAGAAAAAGTACTCAGAGGATATAAATAACCAGAAGAAACAACCGATGAAGGTTATTTATGATTTATTCAATGTACCAATGCCCTGAAGAGAAATGTTCAAGTAAACAGAAAATAAAATTTATAGAGATAAACCCAAAAAGAAAAAAGCATGACTTCCAGAGGAAGTAGTCAATTCAAAAAAGGGGGATGTTGTGGAGTAACTGAACACCCCCCACAAGATGGACTGATCTAAGACTATTTAAATGGCACTCTCTCTTACTGAAGGAGAAGAGTTAACAATTAACTGTTTATTACATTAGTCTGTGTTTTCAAGCATGTAACATATTCTCTGGAATAAACTACTTATTTTCTATATGTGTGTCAACCTTTCCTATTTACAATACAACACTCTCTCTCTGACCCACCTTCTCTCTCGCTCTCTCTCCCACACAGACGCACACACACTCTTTTCATTTTGACATTCCAGCAGGAATGTCTGAAACTCAGATTGGAAACTGTTTATAAAATAATTAGGGAAGGCTAAAGTAAACCTCAGTCAAAATATAGAGATGAAATGAACAAGATTTACCCAGATAACTGTTGGAATATATGTCTTGTTACACTACCAGTCCTTGCAGATATCCATCATCCTACCTGCAGTTACCTTTCTACTCATAGATCCGTTAATGATTGTATTAACTTTATCAGGTACATTTTTTCTTCCATTTTGAACATTTGCTCTCTCTTCCTGAATTACAAAGATCCACTGAGGAATTTTCCCACAAATCCTTCCAGCATATATTAATATTATGATTATCATAAATTTTACAGGAACTAAATCAAGCTTCTTTTTATATTTACAACCAGTCTTTCTTTTCTGTAAGTTGGTAACAAATGTAAAAAATGGGAGTTTGTGTTAAATTTTTCTTTGTTACCCTCAATTTCTCATTCTGGTTCTCAGATGCTTCCAAAATAGCAAAATTGCAAAACTTTCCACTCGATATGATCCATAAAAATTATTATTTGGTAGTAAATACTTTTTCATACTTTTCTTTTCTTTTTTCTTTTCAGCCTGATCCCACTGTTGGCAACATACTAGAATGGTGTAATATCAAATTAGATCCTGAGGTGTGTTATCTTTAGGGTTTGTTTTCCATTTTTTGTTTTGTTTTAATTTGTTTCTTTTTTTTTTTTCTTCTTTTTCTATATATATATTATTTATTTTGTGACTACAGCAGAAAGAGCCATACTTTTAACACAAGTACAATTCTTGGCTTTGTTCCTTTCTTGAGATGCATTCATTTCAAATAGCATATTTCTCTTTTTAAAGTGTATTACCCCACTTTTTTTCTTTTTTCTTTTTTCTAAAAGCAAATTTAGAAAATTTCTGTGCATCTTTAAGACTAAATACTACATTTCATTGTTGGAAATGGTGGCATTTTATATATATATATATATATATATATATATACAGTGCATTCTACTTGATTATGCAAAGTTATTTTTTACCTAAAAATATCCAAGTTAAGCAATATATTCTGTAGAATAAAAGCTAATGTGTTGTTGATACTATTTTATTATTTTGTCAATCATTTAAGTTGTCGAAATATACAAACGTGCTTCTTTTTAATGATTTATGAACTTAAGCCCTAATTTAGTGTTCATTATGCAAATGGAAAATAAAACAAGAAAAACACATTTTATACTAAATTTTATTAATTGAATTGTGGCACATATGACAATACATCGTGTGTTCTAAGTCCTACATTACATAATACATATGTATAGCATGTTAAACAAAACAAGTCTGTTAATGCGGCTACGAGCAAACATGACATCCTCCATTCTTCAAAACCATTATGAGGCATCTGTCCACTGCTGACGTCAATGTTTCAATTTCAGAAGGTTTGATTGATCAGCAAGCACTTACAATTGCTTTCCACAGGACTTCTAAGCTCGTGAATTGCTTGTTTTCAGCATAAATCCTCCTCTTGACTATAGACCACAAATTTTCTATTGGATTTAAATCGGGGCTGTTTGGAGGCCATACCATTAAATTTTGCTCTTTGAACCCATGGTCTGATAGCCAATTGGTGGTGCTTCTTGATCTATTCGCTGGAGCATTATCCTGCTGAAATATCAACAATCTTCTTTTCTGAATTGGTTGTTCATCAAGCCAGGGCAGGAAGGCATCTTCCAAAAGCCTACAATATACATTTGAATTTAGGTTAAGCTCTTTGGGTACTTTGTGTGGGCCTATAAGTTCATTTCCGCGGATCCCAGCCCAAAACATCACTCCTCCGCCACCCTGTTGTCGACGAATGCGGTCGACCATTTAACATCCATCCAGATGACCACTCATCAGGCCCATCAAGGGTAGCACGGCACTTGTCGGTGAAAATCACATTGCTAAAATTGGTCTTCATGTAACTGTGTGCCCATTTAACTCTTTTCATCTTGTTTGCTTTGCTCAATGGGGGCCTCTTGATGGGACTCTTCACTTTGGCAAGGGTCTTGAGGACCTCACAATGGTTAGTTTTACCAACTTTGGGCACTCCAGCGCTTTCAAATATTTTTTTTACTAGTTTCATGTGGTTTCTTCAAGACTTCATATTTAATTTTATGAAGATCTCTGCCAGTTAACTTTCACAAATGCAATCATTTAGGTGTCGTTCTGCATGATTTACCACCTAAGACAAATTCTTTGATTGTACAGTGGTCTCTATGTAACTTTTTTGAAATTTCTAGCATTGACAGACCACTTCCAAGCATGCAAGTAATTTCAGCATGATCGTTTTCAGTAAGACCCTTTTTCTTACCCATATTAAGGATTTATATGGTGATTGCTTAATCAGACCGAACACTTGAAACTGTGCCTTTTTACATACTTTGAGAAAAAGAATTATGTTACTATTCAACTTTTTTTTCATTGACCATATTCTCTTGTCTGAAAGTATAATTTAATCTAAAAGAAGCACCAAGTCTGAAAAAAACAATTTATTGACACGTTAGATGAAAAATTTACTTTGCATAATCAAGCAGAACGCACTGTGTGTGTGTGTGTGTGTGTGTGTATGTATATGAAACTTAAAGTAGTGGCCAGTCATTGCCTACCAAATTATTGAATTAATATTCAAATGCTCTATCATTTTTATGGCATAGATCATTTTTATGCCAGAAGGCTACTTGTGAGTAGACTCTATTTACGGCTGCTTATTCAAACCTTGGAATTAAATGTGTTTTTTTTATCAACAGGTTTAATGTCAATATAATCTTTTCTATTGCAATTTCATCTTTTTTGTAGTGTGTATGTGTGCATATCTGTACTTTATTTAAAATTATTTGAAGTAAAATATTTATTTTGTGTTTTTTATATCCTCTTTTAATAGTTATAAGTTATTGTTGTAGAATGGAAAAAATGTCATTCATACTATCATCAAAGATACCTTTGTTTTCTTAAAATAAACCTTGAAAGTCTACCTTGCATGTTAAAGGCTGATGATTACTTATAGCCTCAACATCTAATTATAGCGAAAGCATCTTGATGTTATTTACTTATGACAAATTATCAGTGCATCTTTATAAATTGGAGCATCTTCAGTGACAAGATATATGGTGTTTTCTTTTAAACTTATCTGTGAGGTGTTTGGATGGATGTTCCTATTGTTGGTGCTGGACTAATGTTCTTACAATCCATGAATAATAACTTGCCTTAGAAAGAAACATTTAAAACTAGTCATGAATTTATAGATGAAACTTCACATATCTCTCTCATTTGGAATTGTCATTATATAATTTTTTACCATTCTACTTATGTTTTCCTCTTTGAGAATCACTGCATATGACTTTAATGGCACAAAGTATATCTCGTTCTTCAAAATGAAATAAAGAGAAGGGAGTTTGTTTCTTTATTCTTTACACTTCCTAAATAAATACTTGTGTATTAATTATTGTCATCATTTAAAAAATACAGGAACCAGTACAATCAAAATTTTTATTAAGTATAGCACAAAGAATAATGTGAGTAGGAAGATTATGTTGCACCAATCTTTCAATTGGGGAATGTCTTTTACAGGATCTTAAACATCAAACTCTTAAGTCAGTAGGAAATACACAACTACTTCAGCTTTGAAAGCTAACTGATTTTGTATCTATCAGTGGTTCTTGACTTTTGTATATGCACCTTTTTTTACCATATTTCCAAATGTCATTTGCTTCTTTCAACTGTCGAAAAATGTACTGTAGAATTGTAGTTTGTAGAAAGATTAATATCCCAACAAGTGTCAATCTGCCAATCTTTGATCCCAGTTCCTCTCAGAAGGGAATTTCCTTGAAAGTTAAGAGCCACTGGTACATATAATCATTATTATAAATCCTACCAACTGCATACACACATGTTGACTATTCTGTTGAGTTAGAACAAAAGTTTGTAGTGTTTTTAAGTGTATTTATATTCAATTATATAAAAAAGGCACATATGTGATTGAATCAATTTATGTAGATAAATTGATTCAATCATATATGTGCCTTTTTTTTTTTTAATTCTGTTACATTTCGACATCTTTGAAGCAGCTTCATGATGCCATCTTCTCAAAACTTGGAATCTTTCTGGGTGATGAAATGGTCAAAGTAGTTTTTACAGGCTTCAAGAGAATTGAAAAGATCATCGCATGATGAAAATTCATCTCATTTTCCTCCATTTTCACTTTTAACTTAAAAACATTCCAAATTCACACAAGAATTTTTAACATACATCCCTGCAAAAACATAGTGTGCCAAAAAGATGTTTTTTTTCTCTTGACACTGCTATTATTCTATACTCCCACCACAATATCTATTGTTTTAAAAAGCTATTTTTAGAATTTTAATATAATCCAGATATATGAAACTGGATTTATGCATTCACTGTTTGCTCGATAATTGACAACAAAAGAATTAAACACTATTTATTTTATTAGACTGTATATTTACAAGAATAATTTTTTTATGTACAACTTTGAAGTGTGCTTTTAAGTGAAATCCTTTTCATATCAAATTACTCAAAATTTTCAGATCTGTTCAGTTTTATATTCAAATGTAAACAATGTAATTTTCTAAGGTAATGGATTTTATTTATCAATCCAACAGATTTTTGTAACTTGAGATGTTATTTTTAGTAGATACTCATATTTGAATAAACACTCCATTTATTTGTTAAACAGTATATTTATTTATTTTCATGTACCAGACTGAATATTTTGAGAAATCTTATTAAAGAAAAATATGCACTCTTCTCTTCAAACCTTACTTGATTGGCGAAGCTGCTCTATGGCTGAGACAATTAAGGTACATTGGATCTAACAATATACAAGTTTATAAAATATGTGAATCAACTACAATGCAATATTTATTATTTACCATATTACAATGAAATCAAATTTTATTCATTCATAAATTTATAAAAATGTCTGAACAAGAAATTTTAAATAAACACATGAGTAACTGTAATTAGAAATTTTGAAAACTGCATATTCTGGCTAATTCTTTCATTTGCTCTTGCCATATAAATTCACTAAAATACGTTGCAAACACTATTTACTTATTAGATTGTTTATTTACAAGAACTTCATGTTTTTGTTGTCAATTCTCGAGAAGAAAGAGACTGCATAAATCCAATTTCATGTGTTTTGATTTTCTTAGCATTCTAAATTAGCTTTTTAAAACAATTGAAATTGCTGAGGGAGTATACAGTAATAGCAATATCAAGAGAATTTTTTTTTTTTTTTTTTTGTGGGTATATGTGGTAAACATTGCTGAAAAACACATTGGAATGTCCCCTTTCAGAATATGCATACTTGTCATAAACTTTGATCACATCTGAAACCAAATCACAGCACTTCTTGAAAAAAAATTTTTTTTTTTTTTTTTTGCCCATAATTATAAACTTTTGAGTTTTCATAAATTATTATATATATGTACACATGCAAACAAAAACTAAATCATTTTCCTCCTTTATCACACCAGTTTCTGTTGATGCAATTATAAACATTATCTTTCTACAGGTGACTTGTGTACTGGTGGCCTTTGATGAACATATCACCTTTAATAAAATTATGAAAGCTGCCACTTACATTAAAAAGAAAAATTGCCTTTTCTTAGCCACAAATGAGGATGCTGCCCTACCCATGCCTGGGAACATGGTAATCCCAGGTCAGTAACTTCATTTTTAGGAATACATTTGAAAGTTTTTACATAACTGAAAGAGCATGCTCCTCTTCTATATGCCATGTCACTTCAGAACATAGGCAATCATGTCTCTTCACAATTTCCTGTCCTTTGTAACTCCTAATAAATCTTATCTTTTTGCTATCTCCCCCAAACCCTGTTCTGCCATCGATTTACCCAAGCTCACTAAGTAGGTTATGCATTGTTTTCCTCTGTCCATCTTGAGTTTAATCTGTCCTGTGAGTATCAAATTTTCCAAGCACTCTTTCCTCATTATGTGCCCCAGAAATTTCAACTCCTGATGTTAAGTATAAGTGTCCATTTTGTTTGCGTTTTCTCTAAAACTTGGTCATTGCTCATATATTCAGTCCATGTTATTCTCAGCGTTCTTCTCTAGAACCACATTTCTGTTGCTTCAAGTCTCTTCTTCATCTGCAAGGAGATCGTCCAGCATTCACTGTTACATAGGACTGATATTACATAACAGTTCAGTGCTATTTTTTCTTTGTTTCTTACAAAATCTTTCTATTTCTTAATGCTTTGCTTATCTTTTGAAAGGCATCTTTTGCTATCCCAATGCATCTTCAGATTTCAGTTTTACACTTTTCCTCCTCTGTTAAAACACTTCCCAGATATTTAAATTGTTGTACTTGCTTGGTTTTTGTATCTCCAATTTGTAATTTGCATGTTGGGCTGTTCCTTATGCTAACAGCCATGCATTCTACCATCTTGCAATTGATGTTTAGTCCTTTCTTCTCACATTCCTTCACTACCTTCTGTAGGAGTTCTTCTAGTTTCCTTTCTGTGTCTGCTATCAACACTGTGTCATCTAACAGTCCTAGGCTTACAGCCACATCACACTGAAATAGTGGTTCCTATATGATCACCAAAATTAAACAACGCCAAGATTAGTCAGTACCTAGATGAGTGACCACTTAGGAATACCTGGTGCAGTAAGCTTGGATGCATGGGTTATGTAATGGATAAGGGCTCGGAATTGTTAATCAGAGAGCCGAGTTCCAATTTCAATTGAGTTTGTTATATTCATTTACATGCAAAGCAAATACCCTTAGGAAAGGTATGAATCCACCTCTTCTCCCCTGCAGCTATGGGTTAATTAGTAAGACTTGTACCACTATCTCAAAAAAAAAATTTCTTTCAACCTAAAATATTTTCTGGCTTTAAGTAACCTGCAAAGTGTGGATAAGCAGTAGAAAATGAGTCAATCAAATCAAACATGTCTGTGTGATATTCAGACCAAGGCTTAAAGTCACCATACAGTGTTAATCCTTTTGTCCATATTGTCTATAATTATAAACACTCTGTCTCTGATATTGAGTACTTTTCTCCTATAGAGTAAATTTTAAACTATATATTATTTATTTATTCCTTTTCATACGCATATAAAGAGTTCTACTTTAAATAAAAAATGTTATATTTTATGTGTATTAAAAAGTGCACACAAAAAATGAAATCTTCACATATGTCAATTTTTCCTTTTGGAAAACATGAAAAGAACAGCAGATGTCAGGAGTGCCTAAAATGCATAAGTGCACATTTTGAAAAAAATTACTAAGCATTAAACGGAATGTTAATGAGTAACTAAATAATTAGAGTGTGTTGGTGTGTGTGTATGTGTGTATATGTATATATATATATATATATATATATATATATATATATATATATATATATATATATATTCAATAAGCAGATAAACAATGACTGGCTACTACTTTAAGTTTCATGTGTTTCCACACAATCTTCAGGTAGCCAGTAACTTGCAGTAATAAGATGATTACCTTATATACCACCAGACTAGTACAATTTGACAAGCAAAACCAAAATCACACAGTGGGGAGTTTTAGATCTTGGCTGGGTGGTCCACCCTCCCCACTGTGTGAGTTTAGTTTGCTTGTCAAATTGTACTCATCTTGTGGTATTTAAGGTAATCATCTTATTACTGCAAGTTACTGGCTACCTGAAGATTCTGTGCAAACACATGCAACTTAAAGTAGTGTCCAGTCTTACCTGGTTATTGAATTAATATTCAAATGCTCTGTCATTTTTATGGCATAGAGCACTTTTATGCTAGTAGGCTAATTCTTGGCAGGCTCTATTTAGAGCTGCTTATTCAAACCTTGGAACTAATTTATATATATATATATATATATATATATATATATATATATATATACACACACACACACACAAAGTAAAAAGTCAATGCAACATATTTGGCTAGAATTTATTTTTCAAATTCCATTGTTATGATAATACAACACTTGCTCCTCTTCAATTGGCACCAAGCATATCCCATGTTGCCATAACAATGGAGTTTCTCATTACTCAGTAAAAAAGTCCATTGCTGTGAGCAGAAAAAGAAACAGAAATCACTGCTCATTATATAGAGTACAATATTTGATGATATGTAGTAGAGTCAAGTCCTTCGCACTCCACATTGAGAATAGGACGATGCCCTCACCACACTAGTGTTGCTACTTTGCTTCCTGTAGCAAACAGACATTTTACTGGGTACAGTTGACAGCTGCACACTCAAGTGGTTTTGATTTCAGAGTTATCATTCTCCAAGACTGGTTGTCAACCAAGGCTAGGGAGCCCAGTCTATTCTACTATTTAACCCCTACCTGGGGAGGGAAGAAATGAATTCATACCTTTTTCAAGGATATTTTTACAAAAAAATGTTGAACTCCACATGCTGATAATATTTTTCTTCCCCAAAAATATATCCCAGGTATTACATGTGAAGTTGAGGTATCTGGTAAGCTGTTTACCCAACCGCCATAAGCTATCAATACTTGTACATAGCTTATTTCATAATGCTCCAATATTGAATGTAAAGAATGGGGACACTTATATACCATCAAATACCTATTCAATTTTTTAATAGTATTTAATCTTGGATAAGTTGAGTTGCTTTTTTTTTTTTCTGAAGCCATCAATCTGTGGCCATCAGATCAGAAATAAATATATAAGCCTATGGTAAAGCTTGAACTCCTATCCATTTTCCTCAGGAAGCCTGCATTAGTATGACATATGCCTTATGGATTAAGCTACAAAGCAACCAGCTACAGAAACTAAAATCTAACCATGTTAATATGTGATTCATGCCAGGAAATGCCAGAGGTTTGGATTGAATTTAATGTCAATCAGGAACCTTTGTTTTAAGAGGAGTTGATCTGGGGCGAGCCCAATATGTACTGGGCTCACCATAAGAGATACCAAAGTAGACTTTGCACTCCATCAAAGGTCTTATTGAGTTCACATGGTTCAGCAACATTTGTACAGCTTCCTGATATGACCAAAGTATGAAGGTGTCATCTACATATCTCAACCATACTGTTGGTTTTAGTGGTACCATTCCTAAAGACATTTCCTTGAAGTATTCCATGTATATACTTACTATTACTGGCAACAATGGCGAACACATAGCCAAGCCTTCTTCTTGTTGGTATATGTCAGACTCTAGTTGGAAAAATGTTGTCTGTACACAGAATGTCAACATTTCCATCAAATTACCTATTGGAATGTTAGTACGTTCTCAAGGTAAGTGTCTGGTACCAATTTGTTACAAACCAGTGTCAGGGCTTCATCTGTAGAAAATCTGGTGAAAAAGCTTACCATATCCAAGTTTACCATATGATTGCTTGGATCAGTTTCACTAAGTATTTCGAGTTTCTAACATAGGACGAGGACTTCCCTGAGTGGGTTGACTATATCCACTAGGAATCTGCTCAGCAGGTGGCTATAAATCTGAATGGAATACCAACTTTGTGAATCTTGAGGAGACCATACATATGTGGCAGCTTGGTATGACATTGTCAACTGTCTGTATTTATTCAGTGCAAAGTAGTCCTTGTTTTTATTTTGGATCTGTAACAGCTTCTTAGTTTTTAGGGTTGGATCCTTTTTCACTTTACTATAGCTGCTGTCCCCTACTAGGCTTGCCAATTTTTCAAAATATTCCAACTTGCCCATCACCTACCTTTGTCAGTTGGCAGTACGATGATACTAGTGTCATTCTGTAATGCCTTGATTGCTAACCTTTCTTCTCTTGTGATGTTTGATTTAGGCAGTTTGGTTTTTTTTAGTGCTTGTCTCACTTTCCATCTTAGTTCATCTGCCTGAACTAGCATGTCTAAATATGGAACTTGCCTGATTATTGATATTAACAACTTCTCTTACTAAACTGTGGTGGGCCTTGTTGTTACTCCAACCCTGTTCTTTCATCCATGCAAGTTTGCTTATGTGGTGAGTCTTGACCTTCTGAAATTCTTTACTTTATGACTTATTCAGGACTTGTTGGATTCTGTATTTGTGCAATTAAAGCATTGAAAGATTTAGCTTTGTATTCTTGTCAGTTTTACAACAATAATGTTACATGCAACAAGCATAATGATTCATGTAATGGTAATATTAGCAATTTCCTTATAAGGAAACATTTGGCATTCATTGACTTGTAGCCAGTGCTGCTTTTGGTTGAAATTTATAAAATCTTGAAACAATTTTTCAGGAAAATACATTTCTCAAGTCACTATTATTGCTCTTTCCAGTACTGATGAGAGCTTCCTTCCTTACCTTTTGTTTGAGGTAGTGTGGAACAGCAGTATCTTGATTATGTCATTATTTTCCCTTCAAGTTACACATGATATCCAGTTTAGTTGTTGCTGTTGTTGAAAGTCCCCAAGTGATGTGGTTTCTGTTATTTGGTTCAGTTCTTTATTTTTAATTCTGTAGTACCAGCCCACAATGTACAAAACCCACAACTGTCACTCACTCAAAGACATTTTTAACCATTGATCTTAGAAAGCAGTTGTATACAGCTGACAGTTTAGATATTTCTGAATGGTTTTTGCACCATGCATGACATCCATATGAAAGCCTCAATCTGACAAGGCTATTTAAGAACATAATTTGAGCTACTGTTGCTTCTCATGGAAAAGGAATATCAAGTCTTGCTAAAGGTCTGCAATTTCAACACCTTATTAAAAAGATTACACAGTTCCATTTTCCTCAATCAAGTTCTGATGAGTGAGAAGCTATAACCAGTCAGCTCATTCTACAGGATTTTTGTTTTTTCACTTTTTTCTTTCTTACTCCTATTTTTTTTTCATTGGCCACTAATGTAGCTGTTGTTTTCCTTTTGTCCCTTTTAATTATATCTGTTTTTATTGGCTTAATTAAATTTCTTGCCTCTAATAAGATCTTCAAATATATGCTTTTATATATATATATATATATATATATATATATATATATATATATATATATATATATATAAAAAAGCATTACTAATAATTTTACTATAGAAATTCATTGAAAATAAAAAATGTCAATAGACAATTTCTTAACTGAAGTGTTAATAGAACAGATCTATTATGTGTATAATAATAATAATAATTGCTAATGTTTTTTATTATAGAAATTCATTATATGTCTATATTATAAACTTCTTTTTTCAAATACACCCCCCTCAACATACACACTCACACACACATAATAGGAACTGGTACAATGGTGAATGCTGTTAAAACTCCTGCCGGGAAAGAACCAATTGTTGTTGGCAAACCTCATTCTACAATCATTGACCTTCTTATAAAGCAGAAAGGGTTAGTTCCTGCCAAGTCAATGATGATTGGAGACCGGTAGGTACACTTCCTCTTTTTTTTCCTTTTTTTTTGTACTACTTACTGATATGTTTCTGTATATTTAGGGAAAATGGCTGAAGAGGTTTTTCAGATGTGCATAGATTATATATTCAGGAAGCCATAAAACTTCTAGAATTTTTTTCTGTTTGACCAATAAGAGGTTTGTTTACTTCCAAACTTATCAGATTCTAGCTTTTCAGTTGAAAAATGTAAGAAAATTAAAATATTGGTAATATTTTTTTTAGTTATTCTTTGGTTTATACAATTACAAAACAATACAGTGTTCAAGTGCTAGGGGTCAGGTTCTTCTCTATGTTGCATTTTACAGCATTCCAAGTGACAATTGATGGTCATTTACCTATAAGATTCATTTAAAAAATGTCTCTTAAAATAAACCAGTTTTTATCAGTATGGTCAGATATTGTTTCATTTCCTTCCTTTTCCCAAATTCCACCAGCAGTTTTAGTAGCTTTGAGATCTTAATATCTTGTGCAGAGTTTAACAAAATGTTGCATTGCTCAGGTTTCTTCTGTCAGCCTCCTGACAGTCCAGATTTGATTTCCTGACCTGAATGAGATTAAGGAGATTGTGATGAAGCAGCTAATAGTGACTCCATTTTAGAAAATTAAGATAACACTGGGATAAGGGGTTCCTAGTGTCAAACTGAGTACTTTCATTAATATTAAATGTATGGATAACTTTTGGAGAGACCTAAGATATTCCAAAGTTGATATAGTTTGATTTTTGAAATGATAACATACAAAAGATTTTAGAAGAGATTTTTCAAACAAGATTTTATGCTAAAAGAAAAAAAATGGTCAAAATAGCTGTAAATAAAAATAACAAATGAAATGGCAAGAAAAATTAGTGGTATACGTGGACCTTCGTACTCACAAAAAAACAGTGTCAAAAGGACAGTCTTCCCTTGACACCACTAATTATTTTAACTTCCTTCACTCCTCGGCAATCTTTGTTTTAAAGTGATGATTATAACTGTAATAAAACCTAAACATGATAAAAGTGAATTTATACATTATAGTTACTGATTAGAAGAAAGAAACCTCTTTGTATTATAAAAGCCCCCCCTCCATTTTTTTATTAATAAGTGGCATTTAGATCCAGTTGTTGAGGATGAAGAGGAAATGACAATATATAAAATAATCAGTGTTAGGTTAATACTAGGATTGAAACTGGCAGATTTTTTTTTTTCAAATATTTTTAAATACATAATTTTGAAAACTGTTGGCTACATACCTTTTTAATTTACAAAATTTAATGATTAAAATTAATTTATTACCAGTTTTGATAGCCTTTGTTTTCATACACCTACAGAAAATTTGTTTTAAGCTATGATCCCAAATTGTTTAATGTTCAATTCTTTTACATCTTCTTTCTTTCTGTCTTTTCAGACTCAATACAGACATTGCATTTGCAAAGAATCACCATTTGAAATCCCTCCTTGTCCTCAGTGGAATCTCAACTGAAGAAGACATTCACAAAGCAGAGGAAAATCCCAATGACCCCAAAGCCTATGTTCCAGATTTTTACTTACCTTCACTTAAAGAATTTTCAGAACTTCTTCCAGAATAAAAATAATAAATAAATAAAAGACATTAACATTAGGTGTGGTCAACAAAAGTTCTCAGCATTGCAATTTTTGAAAACTATAGACTCATTATACAATAATAAAAAAATTATCTTTTTTTTTTTTTTTTTAAATACAAGCTGGAAGCTTTTGCTTAAACACAAAAATAGTTTATTTTTCATATGACTTCATATTTTGGATATGTCTTTCAAAAATAAATTTTAAGAAGTTATCATTTTTAAAGTCATAAGCATCCAGTCAAATGTTATGCACCAAAACAAACTTTAAAAAATCACTTTGAGGCAACCAAGTTTTCTTCAGCCAGATTTATGACATGATCCCACTTCCTTTGGCTGTGATGAGTAATGATTTATTTAAAAATGATTGTTGCAAATAGATTTCTTCATATTTTATTCTTATAAATATTATGTTTGAATTTAAAGATTTATTTTCTCAATAAAGCATTGTAAAGATTCTAGAGATTTTCTAGAAATGTCTCCATCTCCACTGCTCTACTTTCCTATAAATTAATTCATAAAAAGTATAGCAAAGATAACTTGTTAAGAGCAGAGGTCTGGTTCTTATCTGAAAGTTAATTAAACCCTTTCATAATGTTATAGAATATATACAGTCCTCAAAATAAATATATATATATATATATATATATATATATATATATATATATATATATATATATACATATACATATTGTTTGTTAATAGTAGCTCTGGTTCTTGTCTGAAAGTTACTTCAGCACTAAATAAGAATTATTATGATAAAGTAATAAACATCAACAAAAATATTTGTTGTAATTGTCTCAAGGAGCACAATCTGATCATCCATTGGAGATTTTATCCCTGATCACTGGCCATGTCCCACAATGGTGTCAGTTTCTAGGATTTTAAAATAAAGACAAAAAAACAAGTTGGAATCATACAATAACATTGTTTTATTTACTATTTTATAAACTTTTAGTAGTTATATCTACTCTTCCCTCAAATTATTTAGTTTGACAAGGAACTTACCTTCTGATCAATCTACCTTGACTAATCGATGGGACGAGAGTCACTGGTCTAAAGATTGATGTTGCTATCAGTCACTTCTTATCAGTAATTGTCATTGTCTTGGGCCAGCTGTTAAACTGTTTTTTGTGAAATTTTCCTCTCTCACTCAAGTTGATATGTGTAGAACTGACTTTTTTATTATTAATTTCCATTCTATTCTCTAGTTGACATTCATCTTCTCTATAAGTGTTTTAACCTCAATCTCTGTATCAAAACATTGTCAGTTTACAACAAGGTCCCTGATAGTTCTCTTGACACTCTAGAAAACAACCTATTCTTCATTCATTACTTCCACCAGTTCTGACCTTCACAGCTAAGTCCTATCACACCATGTACACTGGGAAAAATCATATCTATTCCGTTCATATTCCATTAATAAAAAAGGAAGTTCCATTTAGACAGCTTTTCTTCCCAAGAACTGCTTCTTTGTGGAAGTGGACACTTTCCTTATCGCTAAAATCTTAACTTCTTCAAGAGTCAACGCTTATCTTTCTTGCATATCTTCATAATCTGGAATTCTTGCTTTCTTATTTTGTGTTCATACAGCAATCTCATTAAGTTAACCCACTACCTTGAGTGGCTATTGAACCTTGTTTTATGTGATCAATTGAAAAAGAGAACAAACAAAAAAAAATCACTGTAGCTCTCTTCATTCTATTTGGATTGGCTGGCTCATCTCTCTATCAGAACTCTCAATTTGGCTGTAAGCATACTTAAATATATGGGGAAATCCTATGATGGACAAACAAGATATCTTCTCATGTGTTCTGATTCTTTATTTGACTAATAAGTTGACTTTCACTCATAGTGTTTTTCTATATGACAAAATATTTCCTTAGCTGACTTTGGTCAGCTGACCCAACTCATTCCATCTAATTCCTTGGTTGATCCAAGAAATTGAGCATTTTGCCAGTTAGTATTTTATATAACTATTTGAATTCTAGGATTTTCTCATCTGGTTAATATTAACTTGTCCTTTTCCCCACTTCACTCAAATGGTCATAAGGATAGAAAGAGGTACATTCTGTTTATTCTCAGTTTATCTAGTTAACTGAAAGTTAAGTTTGGGTTCAATCTTTACAAACTCCTTACACTGGATCACTTTATAAGAACCAATTAACTCACTTAATTTGTCTCTGCATAGAAAATTCTAATCTGCTCTTCATCTCTCCCCTCTGACTGTATGGCAAAAAATAACTATCCCTACATTAAGCTATACATGGTGGGGTTTGTTGTCAAGCCTAAGTGTATATCCGTGAACTCTGTCTCCAGTGTGTAATAATTTTGTTTAATTGTATTTAATTCTGTTTATGCATTAGTTGATGTTTGCTCTCAACAATGGTAATTAAACCTTTTTATAGAACAAAGGCATATTAAACACTAAAAAAAACCTTTAACTGTAAGAATGAAATACTTTTCTTTTTAAACTTTTTTAAAACATTCATTCTTTATTCTGAATTTGTTTAATTAACTTTCATGTAAAAACCAATGATTTTATTAACTGTGTGTATTTATATATTCAGAATATGAAGTCTGTAAGTGGAAAACTATTATTAACATGTATGTATAAGCAGATTAAAAATAAATTTGAAATATTTGTTACTAGCTTAAAAGCTGCCCATTTAAGCTAGCTCCTGCAGAGGGCTCTTGACTTGAGTCTTCATCACAATAGGTAGGTAGGAACCTACCTATTGTGATGAAGGAATAGATGCGATAGGCGACAAACTACAGAAGAACTCAAAATCGATCGCTGCATTTAAGTATTCCATTAATACTTAAGCTTACTTTTGAAGGAAGAGATGAGTTATTGAGAGTTGTGTCCCTTTTAATTGCAAATGTGTGACACACTGACATTGGCATTTATTATATAGGAGGAGATGAGCTATTGAAGGTTGTGTCCCTTCCATTGAAAAAGTGTGACACATTAGCATTTATTATATAGATTGATCTCCTACAAAGAACTAATTTTGGTCATGATAAACCAAATTTTTTTCTGGTCTTAACAAACAACAATAGAAAAGAAAAAAACTCAGTCAAGTAAAAGTGGTTGATTCTAAATATGTTAAATTCTTGCTTTTTGTTGCCTGGTGTTGCTTTCTTCTCTTTTCAGTAACTGAGGAGAAAAAAAGAATTTAAACTTCTGCTTAAATTATAGATGACTTCATTCCTTCTTTTTACTTCACTTTACATATTCCAAATATATTTTCTTTAGTTTTGTTTTTTTAATTTTTAGATGAGACATTTTCACTATTTACTCTAGTAGTTAAAATGTGTTTTCCTCAGAGCATTACGATTAAAAAGTAACAATAATAAGACAGTACAACCTGTAATAATAGTGTATTGACTCACAGTATTGATATTGGTAGCAACATTAGGTGAAGTAAAAGAGTAATAAAATATGAAGTGTATATTGAACCAGGATGTGGTCCTAAAAACAAGAATAAGATGGAAAAAATAATAAGAGAAATGTGTCATCTAAAAATTTCAAAAGAGAATTTGAGTTATTAAAAAGTCATTAAGCCAAATATCTTTATCCCTACACCAAGTCCCAATTACCAGGCTAGAATCATTTAGGAGCTTTTTCTTTAAGGGCAGAGCTAATCCAGCCATTGTTATAGGTAAGAACATTTTTTTTTAAATTGTTCTTACTTCCCAAATTCTGGCCAAAACACCAGACATTAGAATTCTGTTTTTTGTTTTGTTTTGTTTTTTTTAACCCTGTTTTGATTGAGAAAGAAATATTTCACTGCCACATGTATAAAATAAGTTATTTTTCATTTATGGAATGCTGTTGTAGTTATAATTTTTGTTTTGTTTTTGTATTTTTCCCACTGACCATAAATAACCACATAGTATTAATTTCTATATTAAACTTGTCATGAACTACATATACTTTATCTTAATTTTTTAATCTTTTCTCCAAGGAATAAATGCTTGAATAAAGTGTGTGTGTGTGTGACCTGTAATGTGTGACTAGTAGAAAAGGTTAATTTTCAACTTGTATTTCTCACAAACACAAGAAGGGTATACTAGTAAGTTAAAGGAGGGAAAAGTTCTCATCAGTCAGTTTTAGCAATTATTTTTTTATTGGCATCTTTTTATTCTTTTTTTTTTTTTTTCTTAATTCATTAATTATAAAATAGTAGAATAAAATCTGAACATGGTTACATGTGCTGTTTCACCTTCAAGGAGAAACTCAAAATTCAAATAAGAGGAGAATGTATTAATTTTCAGCCAGTCACCTTTTGTTGTATTAGTTTTATATCTGTAATGTATTTAGCAACACGTTCTGAAAAATATAAACTCTTTAAATGGTGTTTCTAAGGAAAAGCTCAATGACACATGTAGTTGGATGAGGCCAGTTTATCAGGATTATGTGTCTTTTGCTATGGAACAAATGTTTAGAACAGTCAATATGTCAGAATTCAAAGAAAATCCATACTTATGAAGTATTTGCAGGAAATTTTTGTTTTTCTTTCAAGGTATATAGAGTCGGGGCACAATTACTTTGTTTGAAGGTAAGACAATTTAAAATAAAATCTTGATGAACCTGAATGATTTAAGATATAGAAACCTATTCTGTTGTTTGAATTCTCACTATACTGCATCTGAAGGAATAAAGCAAAAGTTAGCCATTCTAGAAGTTTTATTGGTTGTTTGTTTTGGTTTTTCTTTTCTTTTTTACTACAAATCATGTAAAAGATCACAAGCTATCCCACACACATTTTTTCTTATTATTATACTTTTTGTAAGATAAAATACTGTGAATGAAAGGCCATTAATTAAATTTAAATAGGAAATTTCATTTTAATATTTCCAGATTAATAAAAAAACAATTAGCTTAACATTTTGACTATGACTGCAAAAAATATTTTAATTTTGAAATGTCAGTAGCTTTAGAACAAAAATGCAGTGGGTTAAGCAGTCAAGCTTCTATGTGC